GGGAAATGGTCCAATTCAGGACTGGTTAGAAATTGGGCTCATATACCAGCCATTAGGGAACTTTACTAGATGTGAAAATGAGAACTTTTTGTAGTTGCTAATGAGAGCACCATTCTTAATCTGACCTCTTCTTGGCTGTGGGAGATGGGCACTTTATCTGAAACTCAAGTGCCCAGACTGAGAAGAAAAAGGAAGCCTGCTGGTGTGAGAAGGGGAGGCTGGCTGTGTCCTGTTCCCCTGTGGCCACATGTCCATGCTGTGTTCTTGGTGTGTTGTCTTTAGAGCAAGTGCAAGTGCAAGGGGTAAGACGGGGCCATCAGCAACCATGTGTCCATCGGACAGGCAGTGATGCTCTTCTCTTTGTAAGATGGGCAATAATAGGATAACGTGGAGTTGCATGAAGGCCTTCTGATTCGTGAGCAGTGGAAGAAAACTGTTCAGAGCAGCAGCAGATAAATCTATATTGGTGTTTAGCATTACACTGGAATAATTTGGTGATCTGGCTTATCCTTTTGGTCAAGTTGGTTGCCCGAGGTTTATGTGGGGGTGCAGTTCCGTTAGACGAATAGAGTTGGCAGTCTCAGTATCTGTGGGTTCCACATCCTTGGACTCAATCAACTGTAAATTAAAAATATTCAAAACAATAATTGTAATTATGCCAAACATGTAGAGACTGTTCCCCTTGTGCTTTATTCTCTAAACAATACATCATCTACATTACATTAGGTATTATAGGTAATCTAGAGATGGTTTACAGTATACAGAGGGTATGCACAGGTTGGATGCAATTATTGCTTCATTTTATATCAGAGATTTGAACATCTGTAGATTTTGGTATCCAGGGGACTCTGGAATCAAGCCCCGTTGGACCACAAGGGATGACTGCAAGACTGAAAAGAGGCGGTGAGAGGTTAAGAGAGAGAATCTGGGAGAAATGAGCTCTGGACCTTGCTCCAGAGCTGTTTGATCTTGGACTTTGTACTTCACCTTTCTGAGCTTCATTTTCCTGGAAGATGAAACATGGATTCATGGTCAATATTGTATTTGGGTCCAGGTTTGTAAGTCTGTAATGGAATCCACTACCCCAGGCTCTCATTAAGGCATGGGTCAGCTTCCAGGAAACCATTCTTTTTTTTTTTTTTTTTTTTTTGAGACAGGGTCTTTCTATGTAGTTCAGGCTGGCCTTGAACTCACTATGTAGTCCAGGCTGGCCTCAAACTTGCAGCATTACACCTGCCTCAGCCTCCTAAGTGCTAGAATTACAGCCATATGCCACCACGATGATCTTTCCCTCTCTAGGCAGCCAAGGAGCAGTTAGCCACAGATTAATAACAGCATCTCTACAAATGTTTGTTGAAGGTTGCATGTCAGAGACAGTTGCACAATTATGACACTGGAAAAATGTTTTAAGCATGATGTACAATGACTCAAATCACCAGGTGGTTTAGTCTTGTCACAGATAACCTTCCCAAACAAGGTTTGAAAGATGCTGTTTGGCAGTAGCCTGGGACAAAGCCGGAGTCCAGCAGGGGAGGAGCGTTTGGAGGGGGACACACTCGAGAAAGGCTTTCCTTTCCATCATGACTGACTTAGTGCCCCCACCCACGCATCTATGTATGACATTCTGGGGCAGATTCAAGGTTGACATTGGACTTTTTGCCTTTTACCGTTCTGCTCCATACCATTGTGTTTGAGTCTCAGAAATGTGGTGACTTTAATCTCAGAAAGACAGTGTTTTTAGAAAATAATCGAGAGCTTCAAACCCTAAATCCTTTAAGAAAACTTCATTGCTCCGATAATTTTTTTCTCCAGATTTATCTTCTTGCCCAGAGTCTGTCCCCTGCCTTCCTGAGCCTCTCAAGAAGCCCTGAGATCTCTTTGCAGTTTGGAGATGGAAATCTCAGCGCCCCCTAGGCACATGGAGGTGTCACTCTTCCACTACTTGAATGCTTATTAAGTGACAGTTGTCCTCTCCTGAATATTTGCACGGCCCCAGAGTGTACCCCTATTTGAGAGAAATACCAGAGTATCTCAGTTCTTAGATTTTTATTTGTTAATGTAGATAGGAGCTATTCTTAAATAAAGCAAAACAGCTAATTTTATTTTATTTTTTATTTTTATTATTTTAAAGAGTAAAGGAAGGATAACATAGTAATGGGGGGCTTACCGAATTACAGACAAAGTGGTAGGAAATTAAAACAGCTAATTTTAAAAGCTTTTGTTTTTGTAAAGATTAAATTTTCTGCTTACTTAGTTCTTTTGTTCTCTCTGTACATATTCCTATGGTTATAAAGGTATCACAGTGCCTTGCACATAGGAGGTTTGCAGTATATGATTTTTAAATGAACACAATCTTTTTAAAATGAACATAATATTTAAAAGTTTTTTTCAATTTATAAAAGTAAAGTTCAAATAATATACACGAGACTTAAATATAAATATCTCCTTGTCCCCTGCTTTAGTCTTACTTCCTAGAGTAACCACACTTGGGTATATATTATTCTAGATTTCAAAAGTGTAAATATACATTGCATATACTGAGATTTTTCTCTCTGAAAAGTGATCATTTTATCAATAATGTGTTTTCAGTTCACTTTTGCTGACCCCCGATATGTCATGGATATATTTCCATTCCAGTTAATATACATTGACCTAATTTTAATGAGCGTAAAATAATCTATTTAGTCAATCACATTGTTTTCCCATAGCAAACAAGGCTGCGGCCAGGGCTCGTGCTGCTGCCCTTGCACAGCTGAGTAAGTGCCTCTGTGCATAGATCCCTAGAATAAGATAGGACCTTTTAATTAAAGCCCCCAACACTGGCCCCAAACCTTTGAGGGCTGCTCCATAAATACTGGTTGATGACAATAGTAGGTTGTCATATTAATTAGAACAGGAAAAGACCCATTAGGGCAACAAATGCACATTCATAGGGCGAACTGGTTCTTGGGGAGGAAGACATAACACTTAATATTGTCATCTGTAAAAAGACAAACCACATTAAATGTATTAAGTAGCAAGGTGCCCGTGTACTAGCATGTAAAATATTCCCAAAGGAGTGTTAACTTGACAGAATGCATAAAGATTCTGCATTAACGATAAAACAGAGGGATTATTTACACAGCATAGTTACTGAGAAAGTATACAATTTGATCTAGCTAAAGGATTTTACTGTATAAATTATTGTAGCCTCTACTTCAATCACAAACAGCCTTCCAGTTGGGCAATTGCCTTATAAAAAAAAAAAAAAGAGAAGAGAACAGTTTCCAATTGTCTGGAATGAGCTTCAAAAACAGGCAACTCAGTTCTGATAGAACAATTTAAACTGCCCATCTCCTTATCTGATGTGGACATCATTTTTCAGAAGGGGCAACTAGCTCAAATTAAATAGTTCTGCTGCAGACAGTCTGTCTGTGCCCCCATCCCCACCCTCTTCCCTTGCAGGGTGCTGCAGGCCTCTGCTAATTTAAGAAGATTGGTCTGGGCAGTGGTAAAGTGAGATGAATAGAAACAACTTTAACAGAGAAAAAAATGGATGATATTAAAAAAAAAGAATAATGGGTAGTCTGAAGCTGATTTGACATGGGAGACTATATTCCTGACTGGTTGATTGTCTCATAAACCCTTTTGAAACCCCGGGCTTTATTTACAAATGATCTTCACTGTGGACCAAGAGTTCAACAGGAAAAATAATGAGCAAAATCTATGAGTTGGCTTGAGCCAAATAGGGCTATCGTGCCATTGTGAGAAGAGGTGAGAGAGAGCATCTCAGGGACCATTTTGATCAAATTGTCCTGCTTCGGGTTGGGGCTGGCTGGCTTATTGTCTCAGGTACTTCAAGGACTTGCCTGGTCCTCCTCTGGCCATGACCATTTTCACTTGGACAGAATGAGCTGAGCTGCAAGGAGAGGAGGGGCCTCTCCTTCCTGCCTGCTGAACGGCTGGGCAGCTAAGCCACATGCTGTGGGCTGCAGAAAACACATGTGCATAGACAACTCCAGGAACTGGAAGAAAATTTCCCTCTTCCTTCCTCCTTTCTTTTTTGATAGGCTTCAGATGTGACAATGCAGAGTCTGCCTTAAAACTCTTCTCTGTCTGTCTCTGTCTGTCTGTCTCTCTACCTAGCTATTGATTTTAAAAGCTTTAAATTTTTAAATAATCTTAAATTAATGGAAAACAACTCCCATGTTACCTGCATTCACCAGTTGGCACCATTTTGCCACATTTGCTGCTCTTCTGCAATTCCTCTAGTCACAGGGATTTTATTGTGTATCTCCTGAGAACAAGGAGATACACAATACACACCACAGTGAGGTTATCAACATTGGGAAATGTAGTGTATATTCATGCATACTATCTGATGCACAATTCACATTCAGATTACTATAATTTCCCAATATGTTCTTTATAGCAAGTCTGTCTGTCTCCCCTCTCCCTACCGCTTCTTTGGATACAGGAGTCTATCAAGGATCATACATTGCACGCATTTTTCTGTCTTTTAGATCTGGAATGGTTCTTCAACCTTTCTTTGGCTTTTATGACCTTGATACAGATGCTCCTCAACTTACAACAGTTATGGTCTCTATAAGCCCATCAAAAGCTAAAAATGTTGAAAGTAAAAAATGCATTTAATACACCTAACCTACCGAACATCAGAGTTTAACAACAATACACTTTAGAAAATGGTTGTTTCCCTTCATGCTTACACACCTGAGTAGGAGAAATGGCCACTGCTATTCCCCAGCATTGCCAGAACACCATACTGCATATGGGTAGCCTGGTAAAAAGTCAGGATTGAAAAACCTATGATCTTTATTGGAAGCATATAACTTTCCCACTATTGTGAAGTAAAAACAAAACAAAACACTATGTTGAACCATTATAAGTTGAACCATTGTAAGTCAGGAACCACTTGTATTTTTGAAGAATAAAGGTCAGTTTTGCTTTTTGTGTGTGAAATGTTTCTTTATGATTGAATTCAAGTTATATGTTTTTAACAGGACACCATAGATCTCATCTTCCTAGTGGATCATATCAGGAAGCACATGAGGTTGATTTGTCTCACTACAAGTGAAATTAATTTGGATTAGCATCAGGTAGGTAAAGTAGTGTCTGCCACTGTTAAATTACTATTTTTTTCCTTTATAATTAAGTAATAATCCAAATCTTACCAATATCCTGTTCCCCGCTAAACTTTCACCCAATAGTTTTAGCATTCATTGATTATTTTCACATGTATGTTTTTTACAGTTAGTGGGATGTAACAGCCAGATTCCTGGAGATGCAGCTCTTGGACAAAAGAATGTGTCTCTCTGGACAACCAGATTGGATCCAGCCAGATCAGAAAGAAGCCAGCTTTCCTGGAGTTTATTAGAATTTACCCTGCTTTTCCTTGCTTTAGGCCATGACATTCTTCTTCCAAGTGGTGCAGGCTGTTTTGTGATGGAACCAAGGGCAAAATACAACCTCTTTCAGTCATTTGACAAATACTTACTGAGAGTCTACTTTGAGTCAGGCTCTATCTGAGGGAATATAAAAAAGAAAAAAATGGGTTAGACTTTGCTCAGAGGTTGGTGGGAAGACAGACATGGGGACAGGGCTGTGGATCAAAAGGCAGATTTTTGAAATTGATAAAACTCTTGAAGACATAGGCATTAGGCAAGAGTTTCCTGAATAGAACCCCAATTGTACAAGACATAATACCAAGAATCAACAAATGGGATTATACCAAATTAAAAAGCTTCTGCACAGCAAAGGAAACAACCAACAGAGGGAAGAGACAATTTGCAGAATGGGGAAAATTTTTTGCTAGCTGCTTTTTGGACAGAGGACTAATATCTAGAATATATAAAGAACTAAAGAAAAATTAAACCACCCAAAAATGAAAGATCCAATCAAAATATGGGCAGTTGAAATAGGCACTTCTCAGAAGAAGCACAATGGCCAATAAATAGGTGAAAAAACATTCAGCATCTTTGGCCATTAAAGAATACAAGTAGAAAAATACTGAGATACTATCTTACTCCACTAAAAATGGATATTGTCAAGGACTCGAAAACAACAAATGCTAGTGATGTTGTGGTGAGAAAGGAACCCTTTTACATTCATTGTTGGTGGGAATATAAACTAGTATGACCACGATGGAAATTAGAATGGAGATTCCTCAAAAAACTAAAACTAGAAATTTCATTTGATCCCACCTTCCCTTTTTGGGTTTCTTAGAGTCATCCTACTACAATGATCCATGCACACCATGTTTATAGCAGCACAACTCACAATAGCTAAATCTTGGAAACAGCCTATATGCCCATCAACAAATGAGTGGATATCGAATATGTGTTATATCTGCACAGTGGAATGCTGCTCAACCATAAAGGACAAATCTGAGTCGTCTGTAGGACAATGGGTGTATCTTGAGATCATAACACTAAGTGAAATAAGTCAGACACAGAAATTTAAATATCACATGGTTTCTCTAATATGAGAGACCCAAAATATACACGACTTAAAAAGCAAAATAAAAGAGGGGGTAAGAAACAAGGAGGTAGACTCTGTGGAGATGAGGAGGGGATCAGAGGAAGGAAGGAGGGGCAGAGTGGAGTGGAAGTGGAGAAGGTAGAGTGACCACAATATGAATACCAATTCCCCAAGATGAATGAAATTACTATTTATTGCAAGCGTATACTAATACATTTTTTAAAGGGCAGGCTTTGGGGGAATTGAGGACAACTTCACAGAGGAAATATCTTATTTTGAAATAATTATCAATTCACGGAAGGTGCGAGGGTGATACATGAATGTCTCGCATACTCTTCATCTAGTTTTTAATTTTTTTTGAGATAGGTTTTCACTAGGTAGTCCAGCCTGGCCTATATTTTTTTTTTTGAGACAGGGTCTCACTCTGCTGTTCAGCCTGGCCTTGAGCTCACTTTGTAGCCCAGGCTGGTCTCGAACTCGCAATGATCCTCCTGCCTCAGTCTCCTGAGTGCTGGGATTACAGGTATGCACCACTATGCCCGGCTCAGCCTGGTGTCTAATTTGTGGCAGCTCTTCTGCTTCAACCTCTTAAGTTCTGGGATTACAGATGTGCACCACCATGCCCGGTACATCCAGTTTACCCTAATGGTTTACATTTTGCATACAGTACAATATCAAACCCAGGAAATTTGCATTAGGACAATGCTAGTTCTGTGCTACTTTATTATGTGTATACTTTTGTGTCCACTATCAAGATACAGAACTATTCCATGACTATCGATGGAAGTATTCCATCATATGAACTATTCCATCATGTGAACTATCCATCATATGTGTCCCTTTAGAGTTTCACTTCTCCTCTCAACCCGTCCCATCGTCTCTAGTGAGTGGTAACCACCAGCTTCTTTAATCTTGCTTGAAGAATACTCTATAAAGGAAGTTATGCTTTATGTGACCTTTTGAAATTGGCTTCTTTTTTTACACAACATAATGCTCTTGAGATAGATCCAAGTTGTTGCCGGAATCAACAGTCCTTTTCTCCCCTGAATCACATTCCATGGTATAAGTGTATGGCAGTTTGTTCAACCATTTTGGTTGTTTTCAATTTTGGACTACTACAAATATAGCTGCAATGCATAATTATGTATAGGATTTAGTGAGGACATAGTTTCCATGTCTCTGGTATATGTCCAGGGGTGTAATTGCTGGGTTTTGTGGTGTCTGTTGGTTTCAGAATTGTTACGACTTCATGGTGGATGGATCCTTTTATAAGTGTGTAATACCTCTCTTTGTTCTTAGCAATTTTCTTTGCTAAGAAGTCTATTTTTTCTGATATCAATATAACCATAGCTACTTTCTTTTTATTGATCTCTGGATGGTATATGTATTTCCATTACTTTCAACACATATGAAATACACATATACATATTATACATATGTATCTCACTATATTTGAAGCAACTTTCTTACAGACAACATATAGTTGGCCATTTTTTGTGTGTCTTGGCATTCTCTCTTTTAATTGCTGTGTTTAGATCACTTGTATCTAATGTATTATTGCTACGTTAAGAATAAGTCCAGTACTTTATTATTTGTTTAATGTTTGTTCTCTTTTTTTCATTTCCTTATTTTATTTTCCTCATCTTCTTGTGGGTTGCTTTACCACATTTCAAGACTCTATGTTGAATCTTTTTTTTATTTTAAAAATAAAAGGAGGAAAACATTAACAGACAGAACCTTTTACAAAATAGCAAAAGAACAGTACAAACAATACAGAGTTACAAACAAAGTGGTAGGAAATTAACAATGCTTGTTGTATTACATATTGATATCTTCAAAGTGGTTTCTCAAGAAAACAAATAGAGACATGCAATATTGATCAATCAAGGACTCATTGACAGTTTCTTTCAGCAAAGAAATAGAAGACAGTAGATCAACTATGTTAACTACCTGTATATACACACATACAAAATTTCTCTTTCTTTCCCTTCTCTTTTCCCACATCCCAGTTGCCCTTTACCTTTGAGTGTTTTCCTATCATTTCACAATGTCTATCATACCTCCAAGTTTAAATTAACTCTTTCAGGTTTTACACTAGTGAGACAATGCAGTGCTTGCACATGCAGGTCTGATTTATTTCACTTATGAGTATGGTCTCTAGTTGTGACCATTTACCTATAAAAGCCTATGTTGAATCTTGAGTATATCAGTTATGCAACTTTTTTTCTTCTTTACTGGGGATCAAATCCAGGAGTATTCTCCCATGGAGTTACATGCCCAGCCTTTTTCATTTTGAGACAGGGTCTCATCAAGTTGCCTGGGCTGGTCTTGAACTTTCGATCCTCCTGCCACTATCTCCCAAGTAGCTGGTAATGCAGTGTGTGTCACTGTGCCTGATTAGTATTTTTTAAGTGGTTATTCTAGATAGTTCATTTTATATATCAAAATTCACTATGTCAGTATTTACTAGTTGAAGTAAATTATAGAGACCTTAACTCCCTTTATATTCCTATTCCATTCCTTGCTTATAATTGTCCTAAATATTTCTTCTATGTACATCCAGAACCACTTAGGGAATTGTTTAATTTTTGCCTTATTGCCAAACATAGTTTAGAAAGCTCCAGAGAAGAAAGACTATTGTATTTGCCTGTGCTTTTGCATATCTTCCTTCCTAGTGTTCCAAGATTTCTTCTCTTCTCTTTTATTTTCCATTTAGAGGACTTCATTAACTCATTCTCTTTGAATAGATGTGCTGGGGACAAATGGTTTTACTTTTCCTTCACCTGGGAGTGTCTTGACTTCTCCATTCATGCAGAATATTTTTCATTGGATATAGAATTTTACATTGACTACCTTTTGTTGTTGGTGTTCCAGTGTTGAAAAATGTCATATCAATTCCTTCTGGCTTCCACGGTTTCTGATGAGAAATCTGGTATTTCAATTGTTCTTCACCTGTAAGTTATGTGTTGATTTTCTTCTAGCTGTTTTCTATATTTTTTCTTTCCATTTAATTTTTAGAAGTTTAACTGTGATGGATATCTTGAGGTGATTCCTTCTGGTTAATTTTATTTGGGGTTTACTGAATTTGTAGTTCTATGTCTTTTGCCAATTTAGGAAACTTCCAGCTATTTTTTTCAAGTTCTTCTTTTTTTTTAAGGCTCTACCCACTTTCTTCTCTCTAACTGGGACTCTAACACTACAAATATTTGATATTTTTTTTTTGGTACTGAGAATTGAACTCAGTATCTTGTGCTTGCCAGGCAGGTGCTGGGCCACTGAGCTGTGATAGTTCTATGGGTTTCTGAGGTTCTGTTCATTATTTTTCATCTATTTTCTCTCTGGTCAATAATGGGTAATTCTGATTGTTCCATATCTTTCTGCTTCTTTGATAGGAGAAATGATAAAACCTAGGTATTTGGGGCATGATGTTATGAGACGTGGCAACAAGTGACCTAGGAGGTGCCTTTTTTAGTGTGAGGGAAAGTTAATGTGTCCTCTTTTGCTAATGGGAGTAAGACAGGTGGACTGCTGGCTTCCCAGAGAGAAGCAGGACAGATGACTTTGACAGCGAACAGGCAAGATGCCTGTGAAGTCCCAGCAGCCATTTGATCTTGGAGAAGTACTCTGGCCTCATCTGGTTCCTTACCATGCTTAAGCCTTGTTTGATCATCTGGACCACAGTGATGAAGATTCTGACCCCATAGACCATCCTCTGTGAGAATTAAAAGAGATGAAATACACACTGTGCTTGATAGCTATGAAAAGAGTCGTAATGTTGATTCTTTTCCTTCAAAATGGAAATAGGATGGAGCTACTTTTTATGTCCCATGGCTCTGTACCATGGCCTCTTCCAGGGCTCCATGGCTGATATCCCAGGGGGAACATGGGCCTAGTACACATCTTCATCCCTGATTGTGAGCTCTGTTGAAGAACTTCTCCCAGATCTGCAGGTGCTCTGGATGCCTTAGAAGCTGTTGAGGGGT